AGGACACGCTGGGAAAGGGCTGAGAGGTCAAAGCGTCAATGGATGATGTATCTGGAGGGAAGAGGAAGGTAGGGAAAAGGGGCAGAGGCGTGAGCACCCGGAACCAGGACGGGAAGCAATGGACAGCATCGTCGCATGCACAAAACTGAGAAAAAGATTTAAAGTCGGACGTGCATACCCCTACATCCTATACAGTACTCCTCGTGTCCTACAAGAGGGAAATCGAGCAGAATGGGGAGGGAGAAGGTGCGCAGAGCGACGAGACTTTCCACCCATGTACCTTGCTGGTAATGGCTGGCAAAATTGTAGGAGAGAGAATCCTCCACCAAGTGGTGGAAGTGATGCATCTGGAAGACGGAAAGATGAGTAGAGACAATGGGGGAGAGGAGAGAGACATAGGCTGAGACTGACGGAGCCGTCATCCCTTGTGGTGGATCCCCAGAAGTAAACGTGGGCAAGATGGGTAACACATGACATTCTTCCGGTGACTAAAATTTGACGTCACCACTGGAATAGATTAAGACTTTGAGGGCTGAAATCATGGTGGAACCGAAGAGGGGAAGAGGAATGACGCACCTCCTGAGACAAAATCGGAGTATGTACACGACAAAAGTACGGGTGGAAGCTGCCTCCAAGCTGCTCGCTTCCTTTGTTGTAGGTTCTAGTCTTCTAAATATGAAACATTTGTACGTCTAACTTGTACCTGTCACCATGCAAAGAGTACAAAAAAGAGAAGGACTTGCCAGGTGAGGTACCTTGGGGCAGGACTGAATACATTGTCGTGTGCAGCAAATACGGACAGCATGCAAAAATGGAAGTGTTTTGCCCGTCGCATGTTGCTCTAGTCAAGGCCTGACATTGTGATGTGATGTATTCTTAGGGAAAGCGGTAGGTGTGGGGAGTGATGACGACGGACAGGCGAGGCGGGGTGTGCGTGCTAACGTGTTCTCGTCAATGTCCTTTTTCCGCTCCGCGATGCATTTGTGAAAGACTTACTAAAAACAAAATGTTATATAATTAAAACATCGCTTCTAAAACTCTGGAGCACGCATCCAGTGGTTTTGCGTTATATCGTAGGCCGTAGCTAGAAATAGTGGGTCGACGGAGCTTTCCAAAGGAAAGGAGGAAACGACGGGTGAAAAACAAGCCAGCCGTGGGTAACATACTCGCACATATCGATGCAAACAGTCACAACTAGGTAGACGTCATACACGTAGCAAGGCC